TTTTAGTATGTATTTATCTTCACATGTGAATGGGATCCACAAACCAAATGAAATATATCCAAATATGAGATAAGAATTGAATCCGAACTTTATAATCCTCCAATTCAGACCACTTTACATTGGGTTGGATTGGATTCGAATTCAAATCCAATCCTCCTATGGTGATCCAAACACCACCATAGGGTATTAGATACGAGGATGTAGGCAATTTGCCGTAATCCTTTGTGTCATGTTTTTCTATCATTATTTTATTTTCAATCTCTCTTATATTCTAAAACCTTACGGTATCTAAATGGGTTCGTGTCAAATCCCATTCGTTTATTAATCCATATTCAACGAATCGTGTCATAATAAGTTTGTGTCATGTATGAGTCATGTTTAACCAGTATATAACCAAATTATGTCGCATATTTTTTTTGATTAATTTCACTCATAGTCGATCTGTTTATTAATCTTGTTGGGTCGGTCCACTCATTTATAAAATGGATGACTTAAAAAAACAACTCAAACTTTCTCATTTTATGTTGATCATATTAATGAGTCATGTCATATTTTTACACCCCTAATTTTCAGTAAGTTTCAGTGAATCATATTTGGCTTGTTCATTCCATCCAGGTTGACCCAAATATCATGTACTTATCTTTAATGTATTTCAATGAAATTATCAAATTTCAATTGCACATGATATATAAGCACATTGACCGTCTTTTATGTACATCTTGAAAATTAATGGGATCCATTAATTCGCATTGATTTATTATTTTTTTTTCTTAAATGTACCATAATTGTTGGATTTGACTTTGAAGTTACTTAAAACAAACCCGGAGAGTTAGCGGGTCAAACCCACCAAATTGGTTAATGCTGTTGAGTAATTTTTATTTTTTTTTGTGAATGTTTGTGATTGAGCTTGCTTTTTTCTAGATTAAATGTCTATATTGAATTGAAAATAGGTATACAGGGAAGAGTTACAAAGTTTCAAAAATAGTTTGAAAAATTATTATTTTTGGATTCGTCACCAAAAGCTCGAAAGATTGGTAAACCAACTCATTTCCGTTGCCAATGACAACATGGTCTTTGAGAATTCTGCTGGGTTAGTTGCGAAAGGTGTGTAACCATTTAGCGACAATTCTGGCGCATAAAAATATTTTTTTGTTTTTTTGTTTCAAAGCTTTTATTTTGCAATGAATGATACGTAGAACGACCAGTTTTACTGTTGTTTTTAGTGATGAATGAATTGGGACCTTTTGCCGATGAAATTGTGGTTTGCCATCGAAAACTTTGGTCGAGAAAGCAGTGGCAACAAAATTTGTGGACGCAAAGATTTTCAGCAACTAAATATTTACTAGTAAGTCACTGCTTTTCGATCTGGCACTAAAAATAATGAAATTAAGCAGCTAACTTCCATGAATTTATAAAACAATCTGATCAAGGACAACACTGTCAAAACTCAACAATCTGATAATGGACAACACTATCAAAACTCAGACAATCATTACTTGTTTTTCACACAGTTTGTAGCTAAAACAAGAATTTAAAATGACTTGAGGATGTCAAAGCCTCCATCCATATGAACTTCAGATTCAGATCATCGTGTACATGAGAACAATAGAACCCAAACACAAGAAGATCAAAGAAAACACAGCTGATAATAGAATGACATTAGGTGGAATGCATCCACTGTCCTTCCTCAATATCATCCCTTCAATGAACGGGTAATTCACAATCAAGATGAAACACGAGAGAAAGATCTGTCCAAACATTTCTCTCCATCCACTTGAAACAATCACTCGAGCAATTCCCCAGGTAAAGGAAGCCATGTTTATAATAAGTAAGGAAACCAGTGGTGCAAGCAGCATAGTTGACGTTTGGAAATCGAATACACCCATTTGATAACGTCTAAATTGTTCCTCGTCAGCAACTTTATTTGTTGGCTGGAAACTGGCTTCTTTCAGACCAAGAAGCTTTAAGACAGTATACAAGCTTCCATAGGAATATGCTGTGACTGATTTTATCATCCATACACGCCATTCTCTCCACCATGTCTGGATTGTTCCTCCAGAGTAGAGAACATCCCATAAATATTTGACAAGCAGTGATATGAAAACAAGTGAAAACNTGTGAATGTTTGTGATTGAGCTTGCTTTTTTCTAGATTAAATGTCTATATTGAATTGAAAATAGGTATACAGGGAAGAGTTACAAAGTTTCAAAAATAGTTTGAAAAATTATTATTTTTGGATTCGTCACCAAAAGCTCGAAAGATTGGTAAACCAACTCATTTCCGTTGCCAATGACAACATGGTCTTTGAGAATTCTGCTGGGTTAGTTGCGAAAGGTGTGTAACCATTTAGCGACAATTCTGGCGCATAAAAATATTTTTTTGTTTTTTTGTTTCAAAGCTTTTATTTTGCAATGAATGATACGTAGAACGACCAGTTTTACTGTTGTTTTTAGTGATGAATGAATTGGGACCTTTTGCCGATGAAATTGTGGTTTGCCATCGAAAACTTTGGTCGAGAAAGCAGTGGCAACAAAATTTGTGGACGCAAAGATTTTCAGCAACTAAATATTTACTAGTAAGTCACTGCTTTTCGATCTGGCACTAAAAAAAATGAAATTAAGCAGCTAACTTCCATGAATTTATAAAACAATCTGATCAAGGACAACACTGTCAAAACTCAACAATCTGATAATGGACAACACTATCAAAACTCAGACAATCATTACTTGTTTTTCACACAGTTTGTAGCTAAAACAAGAATTTAAAATGACTTGAGGATGTGAAAGCCTCCATCCATATGAACTTCAGATTCAGATCATCGTGTACATGAGAACAATAGAACCCAAACACAAGAAGATCAAAGAAAACACAGCTGATAATAGAATGACATTAGGTGGAATGCATCCACTGTCCTTCCTCAATATCATCCCTTCAATGAACGGGTAATTCACAATCAAGATGAAACACGAGAGAAAGATCTGTCCAAACATTTCTCTCCATCCACTTGAAACAATCACTCGAGCAATTCCCCAGGTAAAGGAAGCCATGTTTATAATAAGTAAGGAAACCAGTGGTGCAAGCAGCATAGTTGACGTTTGGAAATCGAATACACCCATTTGATAACGTCTAAATTGTTCCTCGTCAGCAACTTTATTTGTTGGCTGGAAACTGGCTTCTTTCAGACCAAGAAGCTTTAAGACAGTATACAAGCTTCCATAGGAATATGCTGTGACTGATTTTATCATCCATACACGCCATTCTCTCCACCATGTCTGGATTGTTCCTCCAGAGTAGAGAACATCCCATAAATATTTGACAAGCAGTGATATGAAAACAAGTGAAAACATCACAAACCAAGGACTTGAGACCTGTTACAGAAGACAAAGGACTGTCANGGTATAAGATTGAATAACATTTTTTTACAAAATGGTGCAATGGTCATTTTAGTATGTTTTTATCTTCACATGTGAATGGGATCCACAAACCAAATGAAATATATCCAAATATGAGATAAGAATTGAATCCGAACTTTATAATCCTCCAATTCAGACCACTTTACATTGGGTTGGATTGGATTCGAATTCAAATCCAATCCTCCTATGGTGATCCAAACACCACCATAGGGTATTAGATACGAGGATGTAGGCAATTTGCCGTAATCCTTTGTGTCATGTTTTTCTATCATTATTTTATTTTCAATCTCTCTTATATTCTAAAACCTTACGGTATCTAAATGGGTTCGTGTCAAATCCCATTCGTTTATTAATCCATATTCAACGAATCGTGTCATAATAAGTTTGTGTCATGTATGAGTCATGTTTAACCAGTATATAACCAAATTATGTCGCATATTTTTTTTGATTAATTTCNAGAAGACAAAGGACTGTCATAGAAATTCTTTTTGAGGGACAAGGATGTTTATTTGCCAGGCTGTCCCTGAAAATGCAAAAGCAGTTATAGATGCTATAACCAAACTTCATAAGAAACTATCCCGNCATAGAAATTCTTTTTGAGGGACAAGGATGTTTATTTGCCAGGCTGTCCCTGAAAATCCAAAAGCAGTTATAGATGCTATAACCAAACTTCATAAGAAACTATCCCCNAACAACTCAAACTTTCTCATTTTATGTTGATCATATTAATGAGTCATGTCATATTTTTACACCCCTAATTTTCAGTAAGTTTCAGTGAATCATATTTGGCTTGTTCATTCCATCCAGGTTGACCCAAATATCATGTACTTATCTTTAATGTATTTCAATGAAATTATCAAATTTCAATTGCACATGATATATAAGCACATTGACCGTCTTTTATGTACATCTTGAAAATTAATGGGATCCATTAATTCGCATTGATTTATTATTTTTTTTTCTTAAATGTACCATAATTGTTGGATTTGACTTTGAAGTTACTTAAAACAAACCCGGAGAGTTAGCGGGTCAAACCCACCAAATTGGTTAATGCTGTTGAGTAATTTTTATTTTTTTGTGTGAATGTTTGTGATTGAGCTTGCTTTTTTCTAGATTAAATGTCTATATTGAATTGAAAATAGGTATACAGGGAAGAGTTACAAAGTTTCAAAAATAGTTTGAAAAATTATTATTTTTGGATTCGTCACCAAAAGCTCGAAAGATTGGTAAACCAACTCATTTCCGTTGCCAATGACAACATGGTCTTTGAGAATTCTGCTGGGTTAGTTGCGAAAGGTGTGTAACCATTTAGCGACAATTCTGGCGCATAAAAATATTTTTTTGTTTTTTTGTTTCAAAGCTTTTATTTTGCAATGAATGATACGTAGAACGACCAGTTTTACTGTTGTTTTTAGTGATGAATGAATTGGGACCTTTTGCCGATGAAATTGTGGTTTGCCATCGAAAACTTTGGTCGAGAAAGCAGTGGCAACAAAATTTGTGGACGCAAAGATTTTCAGCAACTAAATATTTACTAGTAAGTCACTGCTTTTCGATCTGGCACTAAAAATAATGAAATTAAGCAGCTAACTTCCATGAATTTATAAAACAATCTGATCAAGGACAACACTGTCAAAACTCAACAATCTGATAATGGACAACACTATCAAAACTCAGACAATCATTACTTGTTTTTCACACAGTTTGTAGCTAAAACAAGAATTTAAAATGACTTGAGGATGTGAAAGCCTCCATCCATATGAACTTCAGATTCAGATCATCGTGTACATGAGAACAATAGAACCCAAACACAAGAAGATCAAAGAAAACACAGCTGATAATAGAATGACATTAGGTGGAATGCATCCACTGTCCTTCCTCAATATCATCCCTTCAATGAACGGGTAATTCACAATCAAGATGAAACACGAGAGAAAGATCTGTCCAAACATTTCTCTCCATCCACTCGAAACAATCACTCGAGCAATTCCCCAGGTAAAGGAAGCCATGTTTATAATAAGTAAGGAAACCAGTGGTGCAAGCAGCATAGTTGACGTTTGGAAATCGAATACACCCATTTGATAACGTCTAAATTGTTCCTCGTCAGCAACTTTATTTGTTGGCTGGAAACTGGCTTCTTTCAGACCAAGAAGCTTTAAGACAGTATACAAGCTTCCATAGGAATATGCTGTGACTGATTTTATCATCCATACACGCCATTCTCTCCACCATGTCTGGATTGTTCCTCCAGAGTAGAGAACATCCCATAAATATTTGACAAGCAGTGATATGAAAACAAGTGAAAACATCACAAACCAAGGACTTGAGACCTGTTACAGAAGACAAAGGACTGTCATAGAAATTCTTTTTGAGGGACAAGGATGTTTATTTGCCAGGCTGTCCCTGAAAATGCAAAAGCAGTTATAGATGCTATAACCAAACTTCATAAGAAACTATCCCGAGAAATATATGAAGATAGAATTAGGTCTCAACAGCAGATAAAAGGCAATTTCATTTGCACTCAAATTTTTTTGTTATGTAATTGCATAATGCTGTTACCTTAGGGTATATCGGGATACCATTCAAGAGACACAGCTGAGGGATGGTACCTAAACACCATACAGGGAGACAATAGAAAGGCTGAAAAGACAAGTATGCATAACACATGGTTTCAAGAATGGACATTCTTGATAACCCGTAAACAATGGGGCAAAACCTTGAGAGACAAACGTCAAGCAAACCGGAGTTCCATCTTGTGCCCTGAACTAACATATCATTCAAGTTTGTCGTAGCACTGCCCAAGAATGCTGGCCTCTGAGGATCACAATAGATCGAAGTCCAACCTCTGCAGTGCAAGATGAACCCCGTAAAATAATCCTCCACCACAGATCCATACAAGAATCCGATCTGATATGAAGCCAATGAGATACCAAAAGGTTGGAAGTCTTAGTCAGCACACATATAATGATAAGAATAAGTGAGGTCTAACCGAGATTTGCTTGCCTGTTGACCCCATTGCGAATCCTTCTCATAGGTGCAAGAAGCTAAAAACTTTGCCTCTCGGAGCCTTGTGTCCAGTAAGTCCTCTCTGTCAATTCCATTATTCTTGCAGCCCGTATTAAGCCATTTGATGAACTCATTTGAAGGACCAAAAGATTGTTTGAGTTGAAAGGGATCTTTGTCTAAGTAAACAATCAGAGTAGTATAAATTCAGCAGAACAAAGGAAACATTTTTAGAAAACGTAAAACCCAAAGGTAAAACCAACTCATTATGGAGAAGAAAGCTGTAACATTGTATATAAACGTGTTATATCCTTTCCTCCATTGAAATTTTCAAAGCAAGTTCCACATCAAATGATCATGCATTCATCGATACCTATTCAGCACTCATAATATGCAGCCAGGAAGGCTATTAGCAGAGTGTTCAGATTGCTTCTGAACTTTCTAATGCACAATTATATGATTACCCTAACAGCTGCTTTATTAGTTGGAATGCCTTTTCTATATTCCTTTATAGTTGAAACCCCGTTGAATTCTCAAAAATTGAACTCCAGTTGGACCAGTTCAAATAACATATCTTAATTTGTAGTTACTAATTGTTTTCACCCTTAAAGTTTCATTTGATCTCAGCAACAATAGTCAAATAATTCATTGAAAATGTCACGTGTGCATCAAGTAATGCACTAGTGTCATTTTTTTTTTTGGTAATAACACAGCTTTTTTACCTTTTTTTTGTTTTTTTGACAGAAATCATTAATTCAATGGAATTTGACTTGTTGAAAGTTTCAGGGTTAAAGTGAGAATCAGTGTTAAACTTTGAGGGCCAGGGCAAAGGACACTATAATTTGAATAGCTAAAATGATCCGAGTGAGTGAGCCAATCTTACTAAATGGTTGCTCTTGAATATCTCCTGCTTAATGATATGAGATCTATAACCTAAAGTTTTTATTTTGTTTACCAATTAGTTAGTTGCATATCTAAATTCCCTTTTGTAGTTAACAAAACCATTGTATGAAAAATCATTAGTTAATTAGATAACCATTTACAGTAGTAGAGTCACTACAACTAAGTCAAGCAGTTGCATTCCACATGGAAAACATTGATCACATTTGCGAACGTGATATCTGGAAATTTTTCTAGCCTTTTTTTGAATGGAGTAGATATATACCTTTCTGCATGTAAGTCCCATATAGTGCCTCTCTCTTAATATAAAAGCCTGTTCCAGACATCATTGGCCCTTTAAGCCCATCCATACCAGGCCACTTTATCTAAAACACACCAAATATTATTAGCAAAATACCATACTTTGAGTATGCAACATGAGGAACNTTTTTTTACACTTTTGCCCCTCTGTTCAGAAATTAGCACATAACTCTTTTATACTTTGGAACTGAATTACTACCGTTAGAAATTATCTCTCAATTGACAGAATTTAGCATGTAAGCACATGATTTGAGAGTAAATGTGTGAAAACATTAGGTCTAATTCAACTTTGAACGAAAGGGTTTAGGTCTCATTAAACAATCATATTTGTTTTGTTGTGTTGAGTCTCATTACATCTTAAATTTTAAGATCTTAAAAATTTTTTGGTCATCCATTTGTTTCATTATAGATGAACTCTAAAAAAAATTAAATTTTAATTAAAGCAATATATTTTAAATTGACCTGATTTGTGATATTAATTCAAATAATAATATTAAAATGCCTTAAAATTCATGAAAAATAAATTGTATTTGGGTCATTGAAAAAATTTAATATGGTTCGGATTAATTTTGCTATTTATTAAAAAATAATAATTAACTTTATTTTTAACGACTTAGACATGAGTTGTATCGATTTGTGTATTGTTTTTGTGTTGAAAATTATTTTTTTGTTTTACATGATGCATATGATTTTTGTGATTAAAAGTGTATTGTACAAATTACATTAAATAGATGAACAAAATATTTATTGCAATATTTTGTAAAAATGCGTTATTTTTTGATTCATATTATTTTTCCTAAATAAGACAATACTAATGAATTGAATTTTTTTTTTATTTCATTCCAAACATGGTATAAGATTGAATAACATTTTTTTACAAAATGGTGCAATGGTCATTTTAGTATGTATTTATCTTCACATGTGAATGGGATCCACAAACCAAATGAATTCTATCCAAATATGAGATAAGAATTGAATCCGAACTTTATAATCTTCCAATTCAGACCACTTTACATTGGGTTGGATTGGATTCGAATTCAAATCCAATCCTCCTGTGGTGATCCAAACACCACCATAGGGTATTAGATACGAGGATGTAGGCAATTTGCCGTAATCCTTTGTGTCATATTTTTCTATCATTATTTTATTTTCAATCTCTCTTATATTCTAAAACCTTACAGTATCTTAATGGGTTCGTGTCAAACCCCATTCGTTTATTAATCCGTATTCAACGAATCGTGTCATAACAGGTTTGTGTCATGTATGAGTCATGTATAACTATTATATAATCAAGTTATGTTGTATATTTTTTTTGATTAATTTTACTCATAGTCGATCTGTTTATTAATCTTGTTGGGTCGGTCCACTCATTTATAAAATGGATGACTTAAAAAAACAACTCAAACTTTCTCATTTTATGTTGATCATATTAATGAGTCATGTCATATTTTTACACCCCTAATTTTCAGTAAGTTTCGGTGAACCGTATTTGGCTTGTTCATTCCATCCAGGTTGACCCAAATATCATGTACTTATCTTTAATGTATTTCAATGAAATTATCAAATTTCATTTGCACATGATATATAAGCACATTGACCGTCTTTTATGTACATCTTGAAAATTAATGGGATCCATTAATTCAACAGTTCACATTGATTTATTATTTTTCTTTCTTAAATGTACCGTAATTGTTGGATTTGACTTTGAAGTTACTTAAAACAAACCCGGAGAGTTAGCGGGTCAAACCCACCAAATTGGTTAATGCTATTGAGTAATTTTTATTTTTTTGTGTGAATGTTTGTGATTGAGCTTGCTTTTTTCTAGATTAAATGTCTATATTGAATTGAAAATAGGTATACAGGGAAGAGTTACAAAGTTTCAAAAATAGTTTGAAAAATTATTATTTTTGGATTCGTCACCAAAAGCTCGAAAGATTGGTAAACCAACTCATTTCCGTTGCCAATGACAACATGGTCTTTGAGAATTCTGCTGGGTTAGTTGCGAAAGGTGTGTAACCATTTAGCGACAATTCTGGCGCATAAAAATATTTTTTTGTTTTTTTGTTTCAAAGCTTTTATTTTGCAATGAATGATACGTAGAACGACCAGTTTTACTGTTGTTTTTAGTGATGAATGAATTGGGACCTTTTGCCGATGAAATTGTGGTTTGCCATCGAAAACTTTGGTCGAGAAAGCAGTGGCAACAAAATTTGTGGACGCAAAGATTTTCAGCAACTAAATATTTACTAGTAAGTCACTGCTTTTCGATCTGGCACTAAAAAAAATGAAATTAAGCAGCTAACTTCCATGAATTTATAAAACAATCTGATCAAGGACAACACTGTCAAAACTCAACAATCTGATAATGGACAACACTATCAAAACTCAGACAATCATTACTTGTTTTTCACACAGTTTGTAGCTAAAACAAGAATTTAAAATGACTTGAGGATGTGAAAGCCTCCATCCATATGAACTTCAGATTCAGATCATCGTGTACATGAGAACAATAGAACCCAAACACAAGAAGATCAAAGAAAACACAGCTGATAATAGAATGACATTAGGTGGAATGCATCCACTGTCCTTCCTCAATATCATCCCTTCAATGAACGGGTAATTCACAATCAAGATGAAACACGAGAGAAAGATCTGTCCAAACATTTCTCTCCATCCACTTGAAACAATCACTCGAGCAATTCCCCAGGTAAAGGAAGCCATGTTTATAATAAGTAAGGAAACCAGTGGTGCAAGCAGCATAGTTGACGTTTGGAAATCGAATACACCCATTTGATAACGTCTAAATTGTTCCTCGTCAGCAACTTTATTTGTTGGCTGGAAACTGGCTTCTTTCAGACCAAGAAGCTTTAAGACAGTATACAAGCTTCCATAGGAATATGCTGTGACTGATTTTATCATCCATACACGCCATTCTCTCCACCATGTCTGGATTGTTCCTCCAGAGTAGAGAACATCCCATAAATATTTGACAAGCAGTGATATGAAAACAAGTGAAAACATCACAAACCAAGGACTTGAGACCTGTTACAGAAGACAAAGGACTGTCATAGAAATTCTTTTTGAGGGACAAGGATGTTTATTTGCCAGGCTGTCCCTGAAAATGCAAAAGCAGTTATAGATGCTATAACCAAACTTCATAAGAAACTATCCCGAGAAATATATGAAGATAGAATTAGGTCTCAACAGCAGATAAAAGGCAATTTCATTTGCACTCAAATTTTTTTGTTATGTAATTGCATAATGCTGTTACCTTAGGGTATATCGGGATACCATTCAAGAGACACAGCTGAGGGATGGTACCTAAACACCATACAGGGAGACAATAGAAAGGCTGAAAAGACAAGTATGCATAACACATGGTTTCAAGAATGGACATTCTTGATAACCCGTAAACAATGGGGCAAAACCTTGAGAGACAAACGTCAAGCAAACCGGAGTTCCATCTTGTGCCCTGAACTAACATATCATTCAAGTTTGTCGTAGCACTGCCCAAGAATGCTGGCCTCTGAGGATCACAATAGATCGAAGTCCAACCTCTGCAGTGCAAGATGAACCCCGTAAAATAATCCTCCACCACAGATCCATACAAGAATCCGATCTGATATGAAGCCAATGAGATACCAAAAGGTTGGAAGTCTTAGTCAGCACACATATAATGATAAGAATAAGTGAGGTCTAACCGAGATTTGCTTGCCTGTTGACCCCATTGCGAATCCTTCTCATAGGTGCAAGAAGCTAAAAACTTTGCCTCTCGGAGCCTTGTGTCCAGTAAGTCCTCTCTGTCAATTCCATTATTCTTGCAGCCCGTATTAAGCCATTTGATGAACTCATTTGAAGGACCAAAAGATTGTTTGAGTTGAAAGGGATCTTTGTCTAAGTAAACAATCAGAGTAGTATAAATTCAGCAGAACAAAGGAAACATTTTTAGAAAACGTAAAACCCAAAGGTAAAACCAACTCATTATGGAGAAGAAAGCTGTAACATTGTATATAAACGTGTTATATCCTTTCCTCCATTGAAATTTTCAAAGCAAGTTCCACATCAAATGATCATGCATTCATCGATACCTATTCAGCACTCATAATATGCAGCCAGGAAGGCTATTAGCAGAGTGTTCAGATTGCTTCTGAACTTTCTAATGCACAATTATATGATTACCCTAACAGCTGCTTTATTAGTTGGAATGCCTTTTCTATATTCCTTTATAGTTGAAACCCCGTTGAATTCTCAAAAATTGAACTCCAGTTGGACCAGTTCAAATAACATATCTTAATTTGTAGTTACTAATTGTTTTCACCCTTAAAGTTTCATTTGATCTCAGCAACAATAGTCAAATAATTCATTGAAAATGTCACGTGTGCATCAAGTAATGCACTAGTGTCATTTTTTTTTTTGGTAATAACACAGCTTTTTTACCTTTTTTTTGTTTTTTTGACAGAAATCATTAATTCAATGGAATTTGACTTGTTGAAAGTTTCAGGGTTAAAGTGAGAATCAGTGTTAAACTTTGAGGGCCAGGGCAAAGGACACTATAATTTGAATAGCTAAAATGATCCGAGTGAGTGAGCCAATCTTACTAAATGGTTGCTCTTGAATATCTCCTGCTTAATGATATGAGATCTATAACCTAAAGTTTTTATTTTGTTTACCAATTAGTTAGTTGCATATCTAAATTCCCTTTTGTAGTTAACAAAACCATTGTATGAAAAATCATTAGTTAATTAGATAACCATTTACAGTAGTAGAGTCACTACAACTAAGTCAAGCAGTTGCATTCCACATGGAAAACATTGATCACATTTGCGAACGTGATATCTGGAAATTTTTCTAGCCTTTTTTTGAATGGAGTAATTTATACCTTTCTGCATGTCAGTCCCATATAGTGCCTCTCTCTTAATATAAAAGCCTGTTCCAGACATCATTGGCCCTTTAAGCCCATCCATACCAGGCCACTTTATCTAAAACACACCAAATATTATTAGCAAAATACCATACTTTGAGTATGCAACATGAGGAACTAGAACCTAGCTACCTGTAGTGACAAAAAAAACCCAACAAATATTTTTTTTTTTTTTGTATGCAACTACGTATTAGTATCAGAATCTAATTACAAGCATTATGATTCAAGTACTGTGGCAGAGAAGCACGTGCTCAAAGAGTGACAATATTAAACAGTACTAAATCTGCACTAGAAGTAAGGGAGCAAACAACCAAAGAGGGAACAGAGAGATGACAGAATAGAGCACTCGGAAAGATGGATATTGTTCTCTCAAGATTCTCTGAACAAGAAAGTTAGAAGGCCAATCCTTGCTTAAGGCTAAGGATTAATCTCCCATATCCATCTCTTTGAGGGTTGTATTCAACCCTTCTACATGGCTTATCTCACGCACTTTTTGGGTGGTTTCTCATCTCCTTATATAACAGATGAGTTGTTTTTTCATTGTAAAACTGGTTCTTCATTCTAATAGAATACATTATTTGAAATAAAAAAGGTGACCAACTGGACAAAGTCAGTGGCAAATCAAATTCTGATAATGGTATCTGATGTTTTTTCTTTAACATGGCTAAGATTCCCTGATGTGGTGCAAAGAGATTGGTGCAGCCTGAAATGGAGAAAGTAATCCGTGGAGTTTATTATTCCAAGAATTGATTCATAAGCAAAGCCTTTGATTTACTAACGTACCATGAATATCGATCTCAAACTGGCATCATAGATGTCATTTGTACTGATATTGTGGAACTTTTGTGGGTACTGAACAAAAGCTAGCGATTGAGAACTGCTTTGATCAAGGTGGAAGCACATTGCTTGGCGAGCAGATGTTGGGTCATTGGAGTACATGTCACAGTCTAACACTAGTATGTAAGGGGCGTTGCTTATGATGCCAGAGACCCGAAGCTGCAATATTCACAACATGGAGTTACATAAAGACAGATTAAATGTTTGAAACTAAGAATGTGTGTGCGTGTGTGCACACTCTTGCACAACTTTGGAGAGAGTTTGTGAGAAAGATACAAGGACATTAAGGGCTCCAGCTTTGAAATGATGTGGATGAGATGGTATTTTCTCCCGAGAGACATACACAAGTAGAGGCATCTCCACTTGCTGCGAATCCAGTACATCAGTGATGTCATCACGCATTATCTGCAAGTGTTTACCCTGTATCAACTAAGCTGAGAGGGAAATAACTTTGAGATCAAATCAACTAAGAAAATAACTTGATAAATAAGAATTGATACTAAAAACCTGATTTGTGACAGATGGTTTTTTAACATTTTTTCCTCATGGTTTTAGGAGAATATCAGTGTGCAAACTAGTGTAAGATTGAGAAATCCAACAAAGGATAATCTCTTTCTGCAGTACTGTGCGCTTATGCACACAAAAAAAACTTTCCAAAAGATGTGGAATTTTTGTCTATATATAGAAGGGAAGCAGAAGTGAGGCTGCCCTTAGAAAAGATCTAGAAGTATGATCTAATATAATGGAAAAATAGATTCAAGTCTTTGCTTTAAGCCTTAAACATCTCTACAATGTCCAATTTTATATGGTCCACATGATGTTTGGGTTAAATTTACTCCCTCTCATGACAATAAAAGATGCCAAATTAGAGAAGCAGCAAAATTCAATTGCTCATACTTGTCAGAGTGCATAAAAATGAGCAGAGGTAATAATATATTCTGAACAAATCTGTAAGAGGTACTAATCAAAGCATAGCACTACTTACATGTTTGAATCTACAAAGCAACCATTTTTGTTCTCAATGTTAGGGGGCATCCCCCTCCCCATGCAAATCAAGTTGGTATAAATTATTGAATTGCTACCTTTCGAATAGAAAACAAAGATGCCAACTCCCCCACCCCCAACCCCTCCCCTTAAATTGGTAGCAAAACCCAAACTCATGGTCAGCACAAGGGAGAGACCTGTGGAGTGGAGCAGATGCTTCTCAGTCTTCCAGGTAAAGAGTTCAGTAAATCTGAAGTATTATGTTGCTTTGGAAAGGAAGGGCCTCTAAAACAAGTGCTATTATGGGTTATTCTACATTGATTTGGCAAAAGGCAATTCTGACTGAAGAATATGTATTTCTTTTAAGCAGATTACTATTAAGGCATTGGTTTATGATAATGTGTTCTCTTTCATGCCAAGCCTCAGTTATGTATGTTTGGCCTGAGGTCAGGTCGAATTACTCAGGAATTACAAATTAACTCTGTACTACAAGTCAACACTATAACCATTGCAGCATCTTTCAGGTTTGGGTAAATTACCCTCATATTCATAATCTTTGTATACATTAAACCAGATACCATAACTTTCTAAAAATAGAAAAGTGGTTCATTTGAATAGCAATAGTCAGTAGGATCAGGGTCGATTCCGGTACTAAATTCAATCAATTCCCTCAATATTTGGAAATTGAAGCTACCATTGCTGAATCAAGAAATAAGTTACATCTGTTATAGGGTGTACCCTGGTTCTTTCCTGCTCAAAACCAGCAGGATTCAAATATGTAGAAGGTGCACATTGTGAGAGGCACCCCAAACAGTTTTGATAAAATAAAATGAAATGAAAAGAAAGTTACATTAACAGTGTGTGTTAGTTGCTATATCCATCTCCAAGACTACAGGAATTTGGGAGTTGCCATACATGGATCGGAGGAGAATTCTTGAACCCAATGAAGTTGATTCTGAGGAGAATTCTTGAAACCAAGTGAAGCTATTTTATCCCTTTTGGTTTGGAGAATTTACAAAACTAGAGTGCCACTACCTTGAATTTTTCGCTCCTTTAACTCCTTTCCGTGAAGAGCACACTAGTCACCAAGTGGCAGTGACAACACCTTCCACAGGTAGTCACACGCGCTAATTGCATGTGTTGGGCAGAGGTACCCCCTATTTTGATCAACCTGTTAGGCACCTCATTCGTATGCGCTGCCACCTGCACTGCAGATTTTTATTCTTTATTTAGTTTTGGGACTTCTATCCTAATTTAGTTATATGGATAGAAATTATGAATAGATGGGTCAGATTAGGAGTTTATTGAGCCAAGAGTCGTAATTGGCAAAGAGTTTAGTTAGTAGTAGAAGTCTAGTTAGAAGGTCTATTCTATCTATATCTTCTTGAATATTGTTTTTGGGAGGAAGAAATTTAATAAAAGTTGGAGGACGATTCCTCTTGAAGGGAATCAATTTCTCACAAGATCCTTGTATCCTATCATCTGGTATCAGAGCAATTCTTTTCCTGGTATCATCATGGTTACTGTGAAAGAATTGACTGAACGTGTTGAGCAACTGGTATCAAGAATGGATCAACTAGCGGGTGAAGTTCAGGAAATCAGAGAAGCCATTCACGTGATTCAGGCATCCTTTGACCATAATTTTGCACAAATTTTCTATAGTAGCCAGTAAGCCCCATAAGCTCTCACCACGATTTTATGGACCTTTTCGTGTTCTTTCACGCATTGGAGAAGTCGCTTATAAACTGGATTTGCCTATAGAGTGTCGTATCCATCCAGTCTTTCACGTTTCTTACCTCAAAAAGAAACTTGGAGAAATGGTGCAACCTGCTCCACAGCTCCCTCCCATTCAGATAGTGGTGTTACTACGTGGCAGCCACTTCGCATTCTGGATCGTGAGTTGTTTAAGCGCAACAACAGGCCAGTTACACGCCTTCTTGTCCAGTGGACTGGATTTTTTGCTGCTAATGCAACTTGGGAGGATTATTCAGACTTTATCGCTCGTTTTCCAGCTTTTCCAACTTGAGGACAAGTGGGGATTTCAAGGAGGGGTGGATGTTAGGCACCTCATTCGTATGAGCTGCCACCTGCACTGTAGATTTTTATTCTTTATTTAGTTTTGGGACTTCTATCCTAAATTAGTTATATGGATAGAAATTATGAATAGTTGGGTCAGATTAGGAGTTTATTGAGTCGAGTTGCAATTGACAAGGAGTTTAGTTAGTAGTAGAAGTCTAGTTAGAAGGTCTATTCTATTTATATCTTCTTGAACATTTTTTTGGGAGGAAAAATTTTAATAAAAGTTGGAGGACGATTCCCCTCGAAGTGAATCAATTTCTCACAGGATCCTTGTATCCTATCACAACCTCTCTCTCTTTCTCTCTCTCTCCATATGAGAACAACAATCAAGCACAGTTTCTTCAAAACCACACTCAGATTCACCTCTCCAACTTTGTGCAGCCCATGTTAACACCCTAAAATATTTGATGACCCACATTCTAATTGTAAGTACCCAGTTGAATCTTATTTGATTTATGGTGATTTAGCATTGATTGAGGTAAGAAAATGTAATATTCAGACATTGAAGTGGATTGAATTCCAGTAGAAGTACCTGAACAACTGGAGGGTGACCACTCTTGATACTTGTATCTTCAATCTCACCATTTTCTGCAGCTCTGCTTAGGCGCTCCTTAAATTGCTCATACTTCCTCTGCACATGTACAACACTCATTGAATAACATATGATCTTCAACTTAATTTGATCAAAAATAATCCTTAGTTCAATCAAAATTTATGAACCGTTCACCAGAGTGCTGTATGGGTATATCAAACTCAAAAGGATACAATTCTCATGGTTAATGGTCCAACTACGGTATTGGTACCCAACTTTTCATAAAGTTAGTTAATCTAGTCTAAATAATATTTTTCAAAAAAAAAATACCCAAAATTGAAGGAAATGAAGTGCATCATCACGAAAAACTAAGACGTGTGCACATTTTTTATGGTGATAAAATCTAATTATAAAAAGTTAGGGTTTTTCGCACTTTGTATTTTTAAAAAATTTAAGATTGATTAAATTTTTTATATTATAATCTCAATAAATTAAAAGTATTATAATATTATCCTTTTATTTACTTCTATTATTTTACAAAAAAATTAACGAAAAATTTACAAAATATTACATTATAATAATTTTGATATATTGAGGATGTAATATAAAAAAATTAATATTTAAGACTATAAAGTGAATCTTAAAATATGTTAGGGTACAAAGTATAATTCGCCCTAATATAGTGGAATAGTATATAGATAGTTGAAAAAGAACATAGACAAAAAATACATGGAAGGTCAAAGTGGACATCAAGTAAAACTTCAGGGGTAAAACGTGTAATTATCCCTTACCTCAATAGTCCTTCTTTCTTCTCCAAAGTCACTGTTATCACCATCATCACCACCTAACCCAGCAAAGTAAGCCTCTGGACACCTACTCTTGATCTTATACTTTCTGCAAAAAGGTACCCAAAACTTTGCGAAACCCCAAGCCTCACGAGTAGCTTTCAACACCACAGAAGAACCACCATCGTCGGAAAGATAAACCGACAACTTTTCCGTCGGATAATCCAGAGCCATGGCCGATAAAACTGTGTTCATCACCCCCACAGGAGGCTCCTTCTTTGGGTCTGCAGTGCATATAAAAACATCGACCGCCGGAAGTTCTTCATCGGCCGGTAATCTCTCCGGGTAGACAGTCCGTGAGACGGGTCTCCACCCAAAAGCTGATTGGAGGAGAGAGAGGAAGAAGAGAAAGAGTTCGGAAGCAAAGACCAGAAGCCATGGGAGAGTGGGTAGTGAGAGAGTACTGTCTGTACGATAGAGAAATGAAGAAACCCTGTAGTAGATGATGGCGATTAGTGCAGTGCACTGAAGAAGTGTGTTTGATCTGTTGATTATGGCGGACCATTTGTGTACTGTGCGGTGATGAAGAGGCAGAGACTCCATTAGAATACAGAGTTGATTAGAGAGACGGCTTTGATTTGCGTTTTTATTAACAAGAGAATTGTAATACGTAACCCCGGAGGTTATAGGCTTATAGCTTAGTTGACTTTCAGTAGAGTGGAAGTTTGGTCCTCTTCAAATGAATTTGAATTTATTTGTCATAATCAATTATATTATAATCGGATCGTTAGAGGATCGAATTAATGATTCACTAGTTTAATCATTAATAATTCACTAGTTTAATCATTAGATCAATTGATCAAATTAATCTTATAATAAAAAAATATATAATATATTAATTTTACTAAAAAATTCATAATCAAAATAAAAATAAAAATAGTATAATTTGTATTTACCGTGTATTTTAATTGTTGAGGGTGTTTATTAAACTATTGTCTCTAATTCTCTGTGTGCACACCTGTTTAGACAAAGAGAGAGAGAAGAAGACAATACCCAGTCCAGCATCTCTTACTCCATTAACGTGAGTGTGTGTCTACGTGGAGGGAGGGAGAGAAGAGAAGAAAAAGTCTAATATTCGATATAGAGAATACGCTGTTTGAGAGCTAATCTAGAAAAGATGAAGAAGACAGAGTGGAGGAAGTTTGGTGTTCAAAATCTGGTATTCGAGATCTACATTTGTAGTGTGGTGTTGTGTACCGCTGTTTGAGTGCTTGATTTGAAGAAGAGGAAGGCCAGTTTTGAACCGTAGATTTTTTTGGACTTCGTTTCATCAATTCTTGTTTATTGGCTGGTTTTGTGATTTTTCAACGGTTCAATTATTTAAATGGTCTTTTAAGTAAATCGAACCGTTGAATGTCTCAATTCACCGATTTATTAGTCCGACCGACCAATTCGATCCAATTCTAATTACACCGAGCATAATAGCCTTAGGAATTAAATATTGTTAAAGAGTAATTTGGCTATCCTAAGTTATTGTTTAAATTAAATATTTTATATTAAGTAAAAAATTCAATGTCACGTGTTGGGGGTCCGGGTCACCCTTTCAACTATAAAAAAATAATTGTAATACTTAAAAAAAAACACGTGTTTTTTAAGTGATAATATGACAACCAACTTTTTTGACATTCAAGTTACTGACAAAGCATATAGAAGGCTAATTAATTAGTTATTTATTAAAATTTATAAATTAATGGGCCCGGCTCAAGGCCTAATTCAGAGTCTGACACAGCCAGCCAAGACTTAACTCGAGTAGTGGGCCTGACTTAGACGAAGTCTAGTGAATTTGGTCTAGAAGAAATCTAGATCAAGTTAGATGCATAAAAGCCCCGACAATCACGTCATCTTGGAGCGAAGGAGTTAGCGATGTCATCTTAGAGTCTCATTCACGTCATCCTAGAGTGAGAAGGTCTACCACACAATCTTGGGATCTGGTCTTGAGGAGATCTCCACGCCCTCTCAACAAACCTGTTACAAGGATGACATCAACTCCAGCAAATCAGCCTTTTTGTTACTGATAAGGCACCTCAAGGTGCTTATAAATTGTAAGTTTGGCCTATATATGAGGGGACATCTCTCACATCTTGTATCTCGACTATTACTCACACTTGAGAACTCAACACTCCTTGAAGCAATAAAACACTCAGGCCAACCAAAGCCCTTCAAAGTGAAGTAAGTCACCCTGACCGAACTACTTTATAGTTGTGTGTTGCTTGAATTGATCTCATCTTGATATTTACTGCATTTATTACCTCCTATTTTAACTACTCGATAGGTGATGCATAAAATCGATGTGTGCATCATTAGTTTGACGTCATTTGTGGGAACGACTAAATTTTTTATTATCTTTCTACTTCTTCCTATTTTCTTTCCATTTTGTAGCTGNTGCATCATTAGTTTGACGTCATTTGTGGGAACGACTAAATTTTTTATTATCTTTCTATTTCTTCCTATTTTCTTTCCATTTTGTGGCTATTACGACTCGATCCATGAATCAACAAACGGAAGAGAATGATTCACCATGTCGTGACGAGGTCTTATCTCCACCAGCAAACCTCATCGATGTGGCAAATCCCGTAGCCGAACAGCAACTATTGAAGACAATGTAGCTGTTGGTGAACCAAAATCAGCAAATTCTTCAATTGATGCTCGCCAGACACCTTCAACGAGTTGTGCCCCAACACCATGAGGAGAAACACCCTAGGCAATCCACCCAAGGTGCCAAGGCACCCTTCAACAGGGCCCCAACACCAAGGTGCCTAGTGATAGGGTGCCCCTTAGTGCTAGGGCATCCCCCTTCAACGCTCAGGCTCCTCCTCCTATGCCAGCTCCGTCCTCTCATGCTAGTGACCCTCCTATGCACGAAGACGAGGGAAAAAACCAATACATAGATCATGAATGCCACTACAATGGTCCTTCGAGAAAGTGTCCCTAACCAATGAGATGAAAAAATCAAGGAGGTTCAAAATCAGTTAGATGGCTTCTTCAATGCCATTAAGGCCGTAAGCACCGAAAACAGTCGACTACCTTGTAAGACACACTAACACTCCATTCGTAGCTAATGTGGCCAACTACCCTCTCCCCCCAAAGTTCAACATGCCAATCGTAGAAGCTTTTGATGACTCCAAAGATCCACTGGACCATCTTGACACCTGCAAATCTTTAATGCAGCTTTACAACATACTAGACGAGATCATGTGCAGGGCTTTCCCTACCACCCTTAAGGTATCTACTCGTCAATGATTTGCCAAGCTTACCCCAACTTCTTTTGACTCTTTCGCTGAACTAAGCAAGTCCTTCATTTCATACTTCATTAGGANTACAACATACTAGACGAGATCATGTGCAGGGCTTTCCCTACCACCCTTAAGGTATCTGCTCGTCAATGATTTGCCAAGCTTACCCCAACTTCTTTTGACTCTTTCGCTGAACTAAGCAAATCCTTCATTTCATACTTCATTAGGGGACGCTGACACCAGAAACCTAACACTTACCTACTCAGCATCAAGCATGACCGAGATGAAAGTCTAACGAGTTGTCTCACTCATTTTAACGAAGAAGTCCTCTAAATTAAAGAACCATATGACAAAGTCGTCATGGCGGCCTTCATAAAAGGGTTAAGCTCATCCAGTCTTATGTTTTCAGTTTTGAAGTGTCCGCCAAAGAACATGCTAGAATTACTATCAAAAGCCCAAAAATATTAAAACATTGAGAATGTCATCAAAGTCAAATGAGTTGAATCCTCATGTAGAGAGGAGTGCAAAAAATAGAAACCACCAACCACTAGCAAGGNTGAAGTGTCCGCCAAAGAACATGCTAGAATTACTATCAAAAGCCCAAAAATATTAAAACATTGAGAATGTCATCAAAGTCAAATGAGTTGAATCCTCATGTAGAGAGGAGTGCAAAAAATAGAAACCACCAACCACTAGTAAGACGCACAACACCAACAACCAGCGCCCAACGTCCTAACACCTACGGCACCCATGCTCGCAGTGCCCAGCGTCGTTGCCCAGCACCATCATCTATGGCACCCAACGCCACTGCCCACATGCATAGCGTTTGTGCCTGTATGCTTGCACTTGTACGCCTACACCCATGTGATTGCACTCGTGTGCCTGCGCATATCTACACCTGTGCGCCCATCGTCAGTGCCTGCGTCGCCCGTTGCATCACACGTGCCCACCTCTTCAAACAATTTCCTTGGTGCCTACCTCATCTCATATGCAGCCATCTCCTCAAATGCCCTTGCCTTTCATGTCGAAAGCCCATGCTTTGTTGGCTTTGTGCCTCCCACACAACTCCTCAATGCCCGCACTAGAATGCATCTCCTACCGCTAGCGCCCCTCTAGCTACCCTCATTGTCATATCCCTTATCTTCTTTGTCTCTTAAGATAGAGGCTCTCGAGTCACTAGAAGTTTGACCTAATTCTGTCTATACTCTCGTGCAAACAGCCTAAATCTCCAACTTAGTAGCTCTCTCGTGAGTCGGCAGAAGCTTGGCCTCACTCTGCCGCTGCTCTCATGCAAGCAGCCTCAATATCCAACTTAGTGCCTTTCTCGCAAGTCGTTAGATGCTTGACTTTGCCCTCATGCAAGGAGCCTCACAGTCAGCTTACCTCCAACTTAGAGGCTCTCTCATGGGTCCCCAAAATCTCGGTCTCAAGAGGTGCAACTCTCTCGCAGGCAACCCTCAAACTTTGTCTCTGCTCTCATGCGGCCAGCCTACCTTCAACTTAGCAACTCTCTAGCGGGTCACCAAAATCTCGGTCTCAAGATGTGCAACCCTCTCACGAGCAACTCTCAAACGCTATATTTGCTTTTGTGCGAGTAGCCTCACAATGAGCTTACCTCCAACTTAGAGGCTCTTTAGCGGGTCACCAAAAGTTCGGTTCTTAAGAGGTGCAACTCTCCCATGACCAACCCTCAAACTTTGCCTCTGTTCTCACGCAAGCAACTTCTCTCCAACTTAGCGGCTATTTCTCTATAACCCAATATGTCAGCCTTTCACATTAGGTAATCATGTTGGACNCAACCCTCAAACTTTGCCTCTGTTCTCACGCAAGTAACTTCTCTCCAACTTAGCGGCTATTTCTCTATAACCCAATGTGTCAGCCTTTCTCATTAGGTAATCATGTTGGATATTTTGATGCTGGAGTAACATTATTTTTGCCTTCTCTAGGCAAGCCCTTGGAACTCAAGCTGCTTGCAACTAGGTGCCCTGCTTCTGGCGCCCTGCTTCTCGCGCCCCTTCTAATGCCCACTCTTGTATCTACACCTACCCATGTGCCCAAGCCAAGCACGGCCCAGTTGCCTACGACTATGCTGTTACCTGAGCCCCTGCCTATACGCTGTCACTACCTCGACACTCGCCCTAACCCTGACGCCTGCAACCTCAACCACGACACCAGCCGCTGCCGGGTGCAAGAACCAACTGCTGCCACAGCCTCGGTGCCCACATTGCCCACGCCTGCAATGCCTGTGCCTGCCTCACTTGTGGTGCCCATGCCAGTGGCACCCACGCCCGCCTCACCCGTGCCACCCGCGCCCACTGCTTAAGTCGTTTGCCTCATTATCGACGTCTGTCTAGCGCCCGTTGCACAGGCACATGCTGCCTACCTCATCACCAATACCAGCAGCCTCTTGCAATTCCTTCTCCCTACTACACCACCCACCAGCTGTCTCCCGCCACACTGTTCAGGGACAACCCCACCGACATTTGTTTGCTTGTCACAACTCTTTGACATCTCTCCTAATATTTTCTCTCTCAAATGATAGGGTTGGGGTGGAGGTTTTCTAATCATAGGTTGATGACTTAGAGGGACAAGCCATATGAAAAAAGAAAAGGTTATTAGTCAAGAAGAGTCCTCGTCAACCAAAATTCAAGTTTAGTTAATGCCTTCTCCTCCAAATCTTATGAACCCGACGCATGGGGGGGAAGATGATGGGCTCGACCCAAAGCCCAACTCGGTTAGTGGGCCCAGGCCATATCGGATAGTGGGCCCAGGCCAGACAATGCCTAATGGATCCAGCCCAAAAAGAGACCTAGATCAAGTCAGGTTCACTAAAGCCCCGATAGTCACACCATCCTAAAGCCTCATCTATGTCATCCTAGAGTGAGGAGGTTTGTCACGTCATCTTGGGACCTGGTCTTGAGGAGATCTCTACGCTCTCTCAGCAATTGTCTCACTTGTTGCAAGGATGACGTCCACTTCGCCAAATTAGTCTTTTGTTACTAATAAGATGCTTCAATCTGTTAGGATGTGCCTATAAATTGTAAGTCTCGTCTACACATAGGGGGCATCTCTCACATCTTGTATCTCGCCTATTATTCACACTTTAGCACCCAACATTCCTTGAAGTAATAAAAAACTCAGGCCAACCAAGTCATTATAAGTGGAGTAGGTCATCTTCACTGAACTACTCTATATCTGTGTGTTGCTTTTATTGTTTCATCTTGATATTTACTACATTTATTATTTATTTTAATTAGTCGATTGGTGGTACATAAAACCAATTTGTGCATCATCATAAATAATTTTCAAAAGTTATAAATAATTTGCAAAAATTATAAATAATCATTATATTTTATTTTAAAAATCCACAAAATTTATAAATATTGGTACAGTACAAAAAAACGCTAAGAAAAGTATTAGCAAAAAGCAATACTAATGAATAATTGATTCAACATTTACTGTACAATAGCATGTACCATTCACCAATGTTCAGCCCACAAAATGCTAGTGCATATCCCAATCCCATCCATAGTTTTAAAAATCGGCCCAAATGTTAACTAGGCGAGAGGAGTGAGTTAATGAGTTAGTGATTCAACCGTTGGGTCACTGGTCAGACTGGTTATATAATAAAAAACTAAAAAATAATTATTAATAATAACAAAATATGCTTAAAAATATAATAATTATAAAAACAGTATGTTAGATCAAATAAAAACTCGAAAATTATCAACACATGTATCCAATTTTCAAGATAATTTATAAAACTAGGTAGAGAAAAATACCTTTATCCAAAGATCAATGAAATTGAGTGCACATAAGAGACCGTGAGAAAGACAAATAGATGGAGATGGGTAGATTCATCATCTGAGGCATCTACAGAATGAGTTTGAACTCCCAAATTGTCCACCTTGTTGCGTTGTAGATCTAAACGACGGCGTTTCGCCCTGCCAACTANTCAAGATAATTTATAAAACTAGGTAGAGAAAAATACCTTTATCCAAAGATCAATGAAATTGAGTGCACAGAAGAGACCGTGAGAAAGACAAATAGATGGAGATGGGTAGATTCATCATCTGAGGCATCTACAGAATGAGTTTGAACTCCCAAATCGTCCACCTTGTTGCGTTGTAGATCTAAACGACGGCGTTTCACCCTGCCAACTCGCATCAACAAAATCAATCACAAACCTAGGGTTTCGATCATCAATCATCGAATTCAACAGATAAGGACAGTGATGATCTGCACACACCATACCAGATTACTATTCACTAACAGGGGTGACANGAATGAGTTTGAACTCCCAAATTGTCCACCTTGTTGCGTTGTAGATCTAAACGACGGCGTTTCGCCCTGCCAACTAGCATCAACAAAATCAATCACAAACCTAGGGTTTCGATCATCAATCATCGAATTCAACAGATAAGGACAGTGATGATCTGCACACACCACACCAAATTACTATTCACTAACAGGGGTGACAAAAAATAGGCCATAAGTTTTCAAAATCTTCACACAAGCCCAATATTCATAAAATAAGGAACCAAAAACAACAAAATAACAACCAGAGAGACAATTGAGAGAATAAAATATTCACTATGAGAGTTGAGAGAAAGAGATGAAGTACCTGTGTCAAGTGAAAAAAATGCAAGGAGACTATCGAGAGAAGCCAAGAAACATGATATACTTCGACGATGGTATGTTGTGACTTCGATCGTAGTTGTTGAGAGAGAGAGAGAGAGAGAGAGGCGAAGAGGTTCAGACTTCAGATAGCGATTAGGGCAAAAATGCCCCCAAAAAATAATTTTTATAGTGTCTTAAATGACCCGATCGATCCGAGTAAACCCACCCGATTTGAACGATTTCTTCAAAAACCGTCCGGTTTAATGGGTCTTGGGCGGGTTTGGTGCTTAAACAATCTAACTTAAGTACCGGCCCAATTTGGAGTCCGGTTCATCGGGTTTTTGGGTTAACCCGCTAGGCTGGGTCGGTTTTAAAAACATTGATTCCATCAGTATAGTGTCATCTCCCTCCTTTTTTTTTTGGTGCTTTGGAGAGAATCTCAGTGACGTGGGTTCTCTTATAAATGTTTGGTAAGAATGATGAAAAATAGATGGAAATGATTTTTTATCCTTAAAAGAAAGGATTATATTTTCTCTCATTTATATTTGGTATGATGGAAGAAAAATTAAAAAAATATATTTTCTTTTGTTTGATATTAGATTGAAAATTAGATGAAAAGGAAAAATATACATATACCAAATTTACCATTATACCCTCACATCTAAGAGGTGAATTTTTCTATAGTAATTATCATAGAAAGTTTGGTAAAAAGGTTGAATTGCAAAACACACGAATCACCTATTCAGCATATATCCCTCAAACCAGATTCCAAGCTTGGATCCTATATCAATTGCTCTTTTTTTTTTTTTTTAAGAAAAAAAAATTATTGAATAAGTATCACAGAATTACAAGAATCAAAAAATTAATAAAATACACCTCTATTTTTTTAAAAAAAGAAAGAGAAAAATTTTGTAGAATGAATCAAGAAATTAGAAGAAGCAAAGAAGTACAAGAATTTTAACAAATCAATTTTACAACATGGAGGCTTTAATCTTTCAAAATGCCCAAAGAACACCTTCATTACCACCACGGCAGCAACCTCATCTCCCATAGCTCAACTCCTAACAGCCCAGCACAGCAAAAACATATCAGTCAGCTACACAGGGTGCGACTCCTCTGCTGTTAGGAGGGAACAACATTGTGTGTTGTTAGCCAAAAACGCCACCGTTTAGTCAGCTTCTCACAATATGTTGTTGTCCCCCAAAATAGACCTCGAGACGGGGTCGTTCTACTTACTCTATTACAATTAATTTCTTTATCTCAAACTGACCAAGTAACAAGCAGGAATTCAACTGGTGATTGAAGTCGCCGATTCCTCTGTCTCTCTCACTAGTCTCCATTTCATAGAGTTGACCACCGCTGCCTTCATACTCCTCACTTTCTCTCTCTCTACTCTTTTTTATTTTTTCGATAAAAATGAAGCAAGTATTGAAGAAAAAAAAGGTAAAAGAACAATCAAATCACCAACTCTCTCTTCCTTTTTATCATCTTGTTTCTCAACTCAGTTCAAGTCTACGAACTGTTTGATTCTTGAATGATATCCTCGAAATAATCAAACTACCATCTTTCTTGTTCTTCATTTTTATCAAACAGTTGGTGAAGTCTGTGCAACTGGGTGTGGGGAGCATTATTGGTATCATTATCTTTGATTGTTGACGGCAACGAAGAGGGAGAGATGGGAAGGTTGACAATTGAATACGAAGGTGGCATAGCAAGGAAGTTGTAGGTCAAATTCAAGAATGAATCGATTTTTTGCCAGCAATCAAGACGCACAAGTTGAATGGTAGCAC